CATATAAACTACCATAATCCTAAACTTCATACCTGACAATTTCTGTAAGCTTTTGGTTTCTTTGATCGATTCCGCTACACAAACAGGAGCAAAAAACAAGGGTTATCTCCAGGCTGATGTGTAGTTTTTTCCAAAGTCCATTTCCCTCCAGCTTTAATCATTTTTAATTAATTATTCGATGACGTGCCACCAAATTTTAAATCCTTGTCAAGAGCCTGTCAATGACCCTGTCCAACTAGCTTTATTGTTCTTTGATATATCAGTAAGTCAGACCGATTGACGTGGTTAAATACATTTGTTTGTAATTGAAAACACGATAGCAAGAACAGAAGTGGACAGTTCAATAGAGACTAGACGATATTCAATTATTGAAGCTTGAATTATACAAGTCCTAAGGGAGCAACGTACAAGTCACGATATGGTGACTTTTTTCCCTTGTCCTTTTGTCTCATTTCCTACCTCTAGTTCTTGGATTTTTGAATTATACAAGTTTGAGTTATTGAAACTTGAATTATATTTAAGTATTGAAAATCCAAATTTTTTCACGCGTGCACTTGTAACTAGAACGAAGCTTCATCATAATATAACTACTCGAAGTCAGTTGAATTTGTACTTGTACGTTGGAGTCATACTTTACGTTCCTGTCCAGAATTTTCTATATATTATCTCAACAATGTTATAAAAATAATAAAAATAGAAGAGCAATTTCACATTATCCAAGTAGAAACAAGCACTACAATTTGTCAAGTAATACAAGGATGGAATAAGATTGAACAAAGAATGTCACCTTCAAAATTGTCGGATTTAAACCATCGCCAGTCCTCGCTTTTGGTCACTAAAGGATAAGATGCTCTTCACGAAGGGCTAACAATTCTGTGCTCTTGAAACGTTAATCTCATCATGCATTTATGTGGTTATATATGTCCTATAGAGTGAAACAAAAACGCCCGTGTACAACTAAAACAAGACGAGTAACTCAAGATTTCGACTACACATAATTTTAAAATTTTAAATTTACAGAAGAAGTCAAACATAGTATCGGAACAACCAAAATGCATAAAGAAAGGCACTACAAAAACAGGGCCTAATGATAGCCCTGTTGACAAGGGCTAAGGTGACGGTGCCTCAGCCCCTGATCTGAATTGATGCTCAATTTAGATCGGGGGCTAAGGTGGCGATAGGGCTTCTCATCAGGCCAGTTTGTTTAGAATTTATTCATTCATAAATTCAGGTCTTTTTAATTCATTTATGGCAATTAAACACGTGTATTAGTTAGGCCTGTTTGATAAAAATTTGAATCTAAAATGCACTGATTGAATGTAGACGTGTCATCTTTTAAAAATATTAACTTTAATATTTTTAAATGAGGTGGGACTTTGATAACTAAACAAATTTCATCCAATGAACAACAATGTGTTGTCCAATTATTGTAAGAGAGGATTTCGGACGTGGCACGGCTTGATTGCAAAGGAAGGCATGTTGCTCTATCAATCAAAACACAGTTAAAACATCCTTTCAAATGTTAGGTCCACCTCCTCATATTTTGTAGATATGCATCTTAAGTGCTAAGAAACATTAATTAACTAGAAAATTTCAAGCAAATCATCCTTATGTGATCAAGTTTTAAGAGCTACATTTAACATATTCATTATCTTTGTATTTAGCACGTGTCTACTCCAGCTTTTTCACCCAAAAAAAAAAAAATAAAAAATCAATTTTCTAACCTTTTTTCCTCAGTCGAAACCCACATGTGAGAGAATTGGTCAAAAAAATCGATTGCAATGGTAATAAAAATCCTTTTTTTGTCCAAAAAATCAGTACCAGAAATACACTTAGTTTCCGAAAGTTGGATTTAAAAGATGTTTTCTCTGATGTTTTTATTATCCTTTTTTATCTGTAGATAATTAGTTAAGTTACTTCGAAATTGACCTTTTATTAAATATGTCTCACAATAACAATATAATATTATTAGATAAACTTCATGTACTTGTAATTAGAGCTTATATATCCATAAGGATATCAAGCAAAATCTTAAGAAAATAATAGAAAAATAGTCTTTGAGTACAACCGGTATATCTCGAACTCTACAATACTTCATTATGCATACCCTTAAAAATATCCAAGTGACTTCAATAGTAAATCTCCTAATATAGATTCGAGCTACACATGAATTGTATTTTATTTAATCACGTGTGCAATGGAGAGTCCACTGCTACCTAAATGCTAAACACCGATATTTGCTACATAATATTACTCTTGGACTATAGTTTAATGAATAATGATTCATCAATACTGTTACTGATCACCACCTAATTAGACAATAGAATATTATCACATTGTCCAGTAAAACCAAATTGTCATTGGATGGTGATCATGTGAAGAATCATATACTACAACCTAGTACATGATTAATCATGTGTCATTTCATTAGATGAAACATGTAGTGTTACATGACATTACATTTGGATCATAATTTATTAAACAATGCTATTCATCAATACTAATGTTGATCACAATTCAACGAGGCAACGGGATACTGCCACGTTATCCAATAAAACCCAATTGTCATTGGATGGTGCTCATGTGAAGAATCATATACTACAACCTAGTACATAATTAATCATGTGTCGTTTCATTAGATGAAACATGTAGTGTTACATAACATTAGATTTGGATCATAATTTATTAAACAATGCTATTCATCAATACTAATGTTGATCACAATTCAACGAGGCAACGGGATACTGCCACGTTATCCAATAAAATCCAACTGTCATTGGATGGTGATCATGTGATGAATAGCATTAATCCAATTTAGTACATGATGAATCATTTGTCATTTTATTGGATGACTCATTAGCTTATTTTCTGTTTGTCAGGGGTTAAAATTTTAATTATAATTTAAAGCAAAGTCAATAATTAATTTTAATCATATATTTCATAAAATTCATAGCTTTTTAACTACATATTTCATTAACTTTTGTCATGATTTAATTTAAATTTCCTCCGGATAGAGCCTAATACATTTTTTCAAATAAGTACATGATCAAGCTAGTGTAATTTCGTTGATGACTCATTAGCTTAAGATATTTTTTTTCTATACAGTACATGATCAATCATGTGTCATTTCATTGGATTACTTATTATTGATATATTTTCCAATTTGCTACCTCATCAATCGGGTGTCATGTCGTTGGATGACTCATTAGCTTACTATATCTTTTCTTGGAAAAAGTCGATTGTACAGGAAAAATATTTTACAGAAATCGACCAGACACTCACCTACCCCCATATGAATTAAAATATTGTAAAAAATAACTCACCCACCCCTGCATGTGTGTATTTTGTACTGATTCCGTACATTTATTTTCTGCATGTGTATCTTGGCAATTTTTATTTTTATTTTTATTTTTATATGTACATTCTAAAAGTCTTCTTCAATCTTCTTGCACAAGTAGAGTCAACAACAGGATTTAAAATCAGAAGACATGTGTTAAAAATTCATCGGACAACTTGGAGGAAAAAAAAAAAAGCCATTTAGATACTCACATTTTCTTTTAACTATAACCAGAGAGTACATACATAGAAAATTTATTTAATAAAAATTATCAATAATAAATTTTTTATGTAAACTTATCAATAACTTTTAGGAGGAATAGTCGCAAAATGTGTTAATAATAAATGAGTAATAATTATAAATAAGTAGTTGATAATGCGATTTAGCCCTTGCTTGGTACCAATTAAAACGAAAATTTGGACCATCGGGCTCAATGTTTAAAGAGATGGATTTGAAGTTCTGGTCACATCAATCGGACCCACATAGCTTGCGTGTGCTATATTTGATCCATATCAACATTGCACAGTGACCATTTTTACCCTCATGAATATGGTTTGAATTTGTTCCCATTTGTCCTATATGAGTTGTGCAATAATGAGTAAATGCTACTACATTTGTCTAAATACTTGTTAGCCGATTTTCAATAAAAATTAAATTATTAAATGCCGGACCAACTGTCCAAATTCTGGTTTTCATCACTCTCAAACAGGGGCTTAGTCTGAATTAAAAATAAAAAATTTGTATTCATTTTTCCTGATATTATGCATCGATCACGTATATCATGACGAATTCTTCAAACTTATAAGCGACTAATAAGTGTATGTGAACATTTTCAAACTAACAAATCTAAATTGCTAACTGGACAAACTAGAAAGAAAGGAGCAAAAGAGATGGGTATGGTAATCGACTAAATTAGTCAAAAGAGATTGCGTTTTTAAGGAGTATTTTTCAACATTTCTTCTATTGATGAAACTACTGAAATGTGTTAAAAAATAATAATAAATAAATAAATAAAGTGAAGTGATTCACTTGTATGGATTGTTTCAAGTAAATTCTATACAAATCTTTATTTCAATATGGGTTTTGATAAACGAACAGGGGCTATGATTTGACGCCCTATCATAGGGGCGAGCCTGCAATGGCCCTTGTCACCATTGCAAAACCCATTTCAATATAATCAATTTCCCTACAATAGACATTATTAAAATTGACAAGAACCACATGCTTTAACCTGACTTTACACTTGCACCCATGTTCTAATGGACCATATCGAAGTTGCCTTTATGCTAATCGATAAAATTCGGGACATGTTCTTGTAACCTATCTACCATGACAAATGCTCTACACTTGACAATACAAGGAAAGATAAAGCCCACCACCAGCAATTATTCAAGCAGTTAAAAGTCTAAATCCCTTAATCAATGGCTAGCAATCAGATCTCCTGATTAGGTGGATGTCCCCCTGCACATGGCATCTATTGACATAATTTCAAAACTCAAACTAACTGGCCGGTTCGACTTCAAAGCCGGCTGAGCAGAGAGTCGACCGGCTAGGATCACACTATTAGTCCGAGTATTCTCACAAAGAAAAAATACGCGATTTTAATTGTATCCCCTAAAAGCGACTATAAAAATATGAATTGTTTCATCAAGAATACAAAAAATCACGAAAAAGTTCTCAGACGAATGCATGATGCATCGATTTGCATTGATGAAAAACTGTTTTACATAATCAAAACATCGATACCTTGGCAAACAACTTTAAGTGGCTTTTCAACCAACTTAATCTGTACAAGACTTGCAATTACAAGAAAACGAAACAAGAGCTACATATTTGTTAATTCCTGTCAATGTTTTCTTCAAATTGAAGCCAATCTCGCAATTCTCTTCAGAAAACCTTCAAAACTTTGCTGCTATGAGTTAAACTTCCTTCCTCTCTCGAACAGCTTTCTGTTTTAGCCTCAACAACACCTTGTCCATGTGATGTGAGGCGACTGACTAATTTTTCCAAGGCTTCCTTCATCCACCAATAATGGCAAACTTTCCTAGCTTCTCTTACACTTATCCATATTCTTTGACGGACATCTTTCTCCGGCCAAAATTCAAGCTGCTCTTTGACAAGTAATGGAAACATTCGTCCCTCGTAACAGTTGCCGTTGTTGTTGCTTTGGAAGCACCATTTACCCAATTCAGACTGCAAAAGAATCCCATTTTTCGTATAAACATACGTAGAAACTAACATGTGATTGTTTCTCTTGACGATTTAAAGATCAATTTGTTAATTAAAGTTACATTGTTTGGATTGGTTGTTAAGATAAAATCTTCTGAAGCAACAAAGACAACATTTTACCAAGAAAATCAGGGGAAACCCCTTGCTGCTATATCATAAGCAACAATAAGCAAAACTGGGTAACACAGCTAAGATACCAAACAAACAAGCATTTAATTGCACTAGAAACTAATATTTTCAGACAAAATCTCTATGTTAAACTTGAAAAAAATAGACGAAAAGACTCAAATCTCTTTGAATCCTCAAACTGAGGTTATGAATATCTCTCATTTGTCAAATTAGTGTTCATAAATTGATTTGCAAACCGGACCACAAGCCTTAAGTAACTAACCCCAACATCGCCAAGTACCCCGGCTTCTTCCACTGTCTCGCGCAATGCGGCGTCTTTAATGGATTCATCTTCCTCCCAACCTCCCTGGTAATTAATAACAACACATCATTAATTTCTCAAAAATTGTCTATAATATAATCTGGTCTTAACGAATTGGTATCAGTAGACAGTAAATAGTACCTTTGGAAACAACATCCCTTTGCCTTTTCTCTGAGAACTAATAAGAAGAACTTCAATCGCATCCTCATCAACTACAGATTTCCCATTAACACTTTTATATCTATACGGAATACATCTGCACATTCACAACATGTATAAATTCATAAGTTTTGGTGAATCCCACTTCAATTCAATCAGAAAACTTAACGAAAATTTCCCATAAAATGCATACCCGACAACTTGGCGATGTCCATGAAAATTGTAACGCTGCAGATGCCTACCAGTGCGAGAAACAAGAGAAACCATGTTCTTCAATTCCATTCTCTTTTGCAAAAACTTAAGAAAATTGAAGGTTTTGGAAGGCCAATAATGAAAATAAATGATGATAGTTGAAAACTGAGAAGGAAAGCATTAATTATTAAGTGCAGAAGTGAGGCCACAAGGTTTTAAAGACAAATGATGAAGACTTCGTCAATACGTTTATCGTATTGTACCAGAAACAGTTGAAAGAATAATGACCATTTTAAATTCTCTCTTTCACAAACACACGGAAAATATTTAGCCCCTATTTGTCATCCATTTTTTTTCATTTTTTTTTTACAGTACTCATTTTCAATCATACATTATTTATTAAAATAATATTACACACAAATAAAAAAAAAATTTTTTTAACCACACATTTTAACAGCAATCACTATTCCATAAAACATTCTTCCCAAATAATGTCTGAAAAACACACCCTTAAAAGACTTTACGAAATAAGGGATATGATAGAGAGACGAAACGACGCAAATTACGTGTGGCTCACGCGTCAATTGTGGACTCTATTTGTCCTTGGATAAATTTTTTTTTTAAGGGTTGTCAATTTTTCACAAGTATCGTATTCATATCCTCAACTTTTTATTAGTACTTTTAATGTCTACAAACGGCAACCTTCTAACATTGAGCACATAGTATCTTAAGAGAAAACATACATTGAGACGTTAAATATCTATGCGACATGAGATGTTTGATTGAAAAGGTAAAACTATTTGAAAAAATCAATTACTTACGGTTCAAATTACATTAAATTTTAGATATTTTTAACTTCAATCAAACATCACGTGCATGTTGCTTGGCCATTTGACAAATATATAGACATTTTTTGTTACGTGACGATGCCATGTGAACAGTGTTCGAAGGTCAAGTTAAGGACATGAATAACAAATGATGAAAGGTTAGGGACCCCTAAGGAATTCACCCCTCCTCCCCTTTTTTTTTTTAAACGAAGTCCTTAGTTCTTTCACGACTTAAAGTTTAATTTGTCATATTGTAAAAATTGTGGATAAAAAAAAAAAAAATTCAAAGATGTTGGTTTTAATTCCGGCCAAGCTTTTATTTTCCCATTTATTTCCAACTCAAATTGAAAGCTCCTATTCAACGAGATGGACTAATCTTGATGATTTTGAACAAGATTTGCTAAAAAAATAGGACCCCTACCCTGTTTTTTCCCGGGGGCCCTATTGGCAAGATGTCTACCCCGTTCAAAAAAAAAGAGCCTACGTGACCCTTTTTGAAAAGAATTGTTCGATTTTGAACTATTAAATGCGGCTGTGATTTTATTTTTATTGCCATATTATTTTAGACATTTTTTGTTACGTGGTGATGCCATGTGAACAGTGTTCGCATGTCAAGTTAAGGACATGAATAACAAATGATGAAAGGTTAGGGACCACTAAGGAATTCACCCCTTCTCCTTTTTTTTTTTTAAAAAATTTTGTACACATTAAAATTTAAAACCAAAACGAAGTCCTTAGTTCTTTCACGACTTAAAGTTTAATTTGTCATATTGTAAAAATTGTGGATAAAAAAAAAAAAAATTCAAAGATGTTGGTTTTAATTCCGGCCAAGCTTTTATTTTCCCATTTATTTCCAACTCAGATTGAAAGCTCCTATTCAACGAGAAGGACTAATCTCGATGATTTTGAGCAAGATTTGCTAAAAAAATAGGACCCCTACCCTGTTTTTTCCCGGGGGCCCTATTGGCAAGGTGTTTACCCCGTTGAAAAAACAGAGCCTACGTGACCCTGTTTGATAAGAATTGTTCGATTTTGAACTATTAAATGCGGCTGTGATTTTATTTTTGTTGCCATATTATTTTAGATGTTTATTTTAATACATAGAGTAAAAGTGGAAAATGGGTATAAAAAGTACCTGGGGTCGCCGTAATTAAGGATTGAGGTGAGGACGGAACGGGACGGGACGGGACATCCGATAGGGATGGGAGACATGGAGGGCCACCCAACCCTGTCCCGTCCAGATGCTATCCATTGTTTTACCGTAGGAGTTTTGATTTAGAATTCTGTGGGTTAGTTAGTTCAAATTCTTGACAAAACAAAGATGGAAAGTCGTACAAAGGAAAATATACGATGTTGTGCTTGAATGGTTATAAAGGAAGCATCTGAAAAGTTACTTCCAGAAGTATTAATCTAAACTAATTCAACTGATTTCAATTGTAAACTTTGCTCTTTTTTTTTTGCCACTACTTGAGAAGAAGGATCGATTTTTTGAAAGTGAAGAAGTGTAAATAAGATCTTAGACGCACTAAAAATGTTAGCGCATCTCTATTTTCTTCTTTATCGTGGCTCTGCATTTACCATGTTCTTATGATCGTTTGACGGTGAACACAAGTTTCCCACTTCAATTTTATGGATTACACACATTTTCGAATTACTATCTTCATTCTTTCTAATTTTCTAGCAAATTAAAATTGTTCCTATGTGCTTTCACATTAGATGTCTCTTGTTAAATTAAGATGTTTGAGTTTAAACTTGGCATGTTCGATATAAATTTTTTTAAAATAGATTTTATGGAAAGTTAGTTTTTTGGATAATGTATTGTTAAAATGTTAAAGAAAAAAAAAAGTTGTGGGTCCACATTTAAAAATATTTTATTGAGCAAATGTGTGTTTGAAATGAATTTATGAAAAAATAAGTTTTATAGAATCTATACCAAAAAGGACGTAATTATGTAAATAAATAATATTGTCCTCTAATTAACATTTTAAAATTTTATAATACGAGATAGTTGAATATAGAATCATTACAGGTAAGAGCTTCTAGTTTTCCTATTATTTATCTATCAAATTTGTGTATCAAATACTTAAGAAAAAGTAACATGTGGAAAACTGTATTTTAGATAAAATGAATAAATTAGAGTGTCTTTGATTGACTTTATTTTCTATGAAAAATATCATTTTTCACCCAAATTTCTATTTTTTAGGTATTTGATTGCCTTTTTTTTTTTTTCCCTACTAAAAATATTTTTTTTCGAAAGTTGGTCACGTGAACATGTTATCCTAAAAGACAAGGAAAAGACTTTCTTTAATGGAACAATTTTTTATTTTCTATACAATTCACACTTCCCAAAATTATTTTTTATGTTGAAAACTAAGTCAATCAAACATATTTAATTAATAATTTTTATACAAATAATTTAATTGTTTAAAATATACAAATTACATACTTGCAATCAAATACACACTTAGTTTCACATTCTAGATATATGGCTCCTCTCGTAGCATGATTTCATGCTTTTGTTGAATATATGAGACAAATTTAGGCTAAAAAAAAAAAACCTTTATGAATCGAGTGTGATAGTTTATTTTTATGTTGTGCATTTTCTTGTACTAATATCAACAAAATTTTGATATAACAACTAATATCCTTTTAACTAAACAAACGAACCACCTTGAGAATAACCATTATTTAAAAGGTTATGTTTGGCATCAATTCCGACTTAATTAATGCACAATAAATAAATTAGTCAGTTCGATATGTTTTGTCACATGCAGACTGAATTCATCTTATGTTGTTATAGTTCTAACATGCAAAGAAATTATATTGGGATAATAACAATTAATATAAACTCGAAACCTTAATCTATCTTCGTCTAACAATTTAAACTTTCAATAATATTTTTAAGTACCTAAAAAGAAACCTCATCTTAATAAATTTATATAGAGATCCGTTTCCTATCATATCTAAGAGAATCTTCTATGGACCAAAACATAAATTTTTTATTGTTATTAAAAATAAAATAAATTTAAAAAAATTAATAGCGTTGACCTCTATTACAAGGATTCATAATTCATGCACGTTCCTTCCTAAGAAATGTCAGACCCTAAAGGAAAATAATTGGATAAATGAGTTTTCCTTCAATTGCATTAATTGAAAATTGAAATGGTCCATTTAATACAAATTAATTATGGTCTGAAACCTCATACAATTCTCGCCTACACTTTCCAGAAACTTAATTTTAATTTCAGAGTCTACTCTTTTTTTTTGGCATATTGTATTTGCATGGTTTACATTTCAGCAAAGAAAAATGTTACCATCACTCAAGAAACTTCGATTATTTACTTTTGCGATCATTTAATATATTTAGAGGAGATATACTATCCATTTAAAATAATAAATAGATAACAAAATATAATTCAATGAGTAGTATATGAAGACTTTTAGACTGTTTTCTCTCTAAAGGTTGACAATTTTGGATGAAATATTACACAATTAAAAAAGCTCAACCAATAGTACAATCCATCGAAGTCTAAAACAAGAAATCAATACCAAGATTAAGCGTTTGTTTGACACTCGTTAATTTATTTCATGGTTGGTGAAAGGATCATTTTCAATCACACATTCACACGATAGAATATTCTACATGTATGCCAAAAACTTTTTCCTACTTTTTAATTACACATTTCTTAAAAATTACTATTCAAAACTCTTTTTTCCAACAAATAATGATTGTCATACAAGCTCTAATTCCTTCAAAAGAGACATCATCTTGCAAAGATAAAATCTCAAGTGACAGTAATAATCAACTTATAAGAGTTTGAATTACACATTTTCAAAGTTGAATCTCAAAACTTAACAGTTTGTCGTATCTACTTTCCACCAATAAAATGAATAAGAAAAAATTCCGCCTCTTTTTCTTTTCATTGGATTCTTTTCATATAGACTTATTAAAACAAGAGAGATCGAGAGAGAAAACACGATAATTTTGATGTCGCATTAAGTGATAGTCTTTCAGACCATAATTATTTTCTTGAAACATTAATGAGGAAGAAAACTATTCTCAAAGCCATTATTCTTCATCCTATCATTGCCATGTGTAAATACCTTCGTCTTGGGAAGACTTGGCAAATTTGAAAATGATAAATCGTGATTCATGCATGTTCTCGTAAGTCAATTGAAAGCAAGTTTTAAAATTTATTATAACATATAAATTATATTATTTCTAATTAATTTAGTTATTTATGGGGTTATTTTAAAAAACGCAATAATAATGTTCACTTTTCTAGAGGCGGCATGCAATTTTTTTTGCCTTTAGTAGTTCGTCTCTAACATGCATACCCTCATTTAAATTAATATTAATATATTTTGTAATCCTGCTGACGACAAAAAGAAAATGTTTAATAATTTTATGTCTAGAAGGAATATAGTTTGTGCCGATTTGTTAGGCGGTGACGAAAAGCACGCCACAATTGCAGGCCGGCCACCGGCATGACATATGGCAGAAGACAATTTTTTCACATAGGTCAACACCGGCAAAAGCATCTACCAAAAGAAGACTTTTATGCTTAATTTTTTTTATTAAAAAAAAAAGAAAGAAAGAAAGAAAAAAATTTACTGTCAAATAAAAAAATATATTGCTCAAATTTAATTTACACTGGCCATAGACCAGTTTAGCATTTTAAAAGGTGGGTTCACCCTGTTGGTCATCATGACGTATAATGCAACATAAAAGGTTCATATGCATGAATAATCTTAGGGGATATCAATGGTAGCTAGAGGTGGGAATGGGACGAGCCAATTGTCCATTTGGTCAGCTCGTGGCTCGTTTGGGACGAGCAAAGCTTATGCTTGGCTTGTTATTCGAGAGCCAAGCTTCAGCTCATGAGTTTGTCTTTTTTTCTTTTTAGATAAAGTCCTCCTTCTTTATCCTGGTTTCAGAACAATTACTTAAATTTCGAGTAAGATGAGTTAAAAATTGTATACAAATAATTTGTTACATGTATAATTTTTTTAAAAAATTAAAAATAGCATTATAAAATAACAAATTTTATTAATATGGTTAAATAAAATATCACTTACCTGACGATATTTAATTTCGGCATATTTATCTTGCAGTAAAAAATTAGTATCTTGCCAATCTTTCACGCACATTAATGCTTCCAAAATATCTTCTTTCAGCGAGCTCTTGACCTTAGACAGAAACCTCTTACCTGCACTAAAAGCAGACTTTTGAAGCTAGAGTTCTAATAAGAGGTATTAGTAAGTCTTTTGTAATCGCAGAAACCACTTGTCATCGTAGTTCATGTTTTCGTCTGAATTCAATTATTCTTTGAACTTTTTTTTAGTTGATTTATTATTAGAGATATTATGATTAGAGTAATCAAGTAATTCGGTAGGCAATGCATTTGGACATGCATCCGATGTCTGATTACATGTAATATACATACTACTACTAGAAGAACATATTGCATCATATTTATATGTATTAATGCCTTCAAATAAATTTAACATTTCAACGTTGTCTTCTTGAATATCAGCAGGAGGAGTAGGTGCAGAGGGCGTCAAACTAATATTTACACCTATTTGTTATGCATATAATTCATACATTTTACATAAAATTTATTTTAAATTTCTATAAGTGATAGGTGTATTAAAAGTTAAAACTTTTGAATCAATTACATATTTAGTTAAATCTCTATTGGCGGCACCCTCTTTCATTCTCTCAATTTTTGTGCTACCACTAACTCTATTATGAACGGTAGCGGCGCTTGGCTTCCAAATGCTGCTTTTTTAGCAATAGTTCCAGGTGATGGTGGGGTAGAGGTAGTGCTGTGGTTGTGATGACGATAGCGACAGAGTGGTTTTCTTGGATCTGGTGGTGGCGGTAGTTTTTTGTGGTGGTGGATATGGCGATTGGTGTGATTTTTGTTGGATTTTGAGGTGGATCTAGCAATGGCAATGGTCGTTCGTTGGTGGTGTGGTGGTGGTGGTTTTGAAGTTGAAAATAATAGTTTAGTGGTAGGGGTGGCGACGAGGTTGTATTGCTTTTGGTTTTGATGCCATGGTGGATTGGGATTGGGTGACGTAGGTGGTGGGATTAATAGTGTTTGTGACCAATTATTTAGATTGTGATCAATAAATAATATGAGATTGATAATTTGTGATCATTAAGTAATATGTGATCTAAAAACTTGAGTTATGACCAATGTTTTGAAAATCGACCCGTACATCGACCTAGAAAAGGTTAAGGGTCAAGGATCAAAAGGTTCAATCAAGATCGAACTAGATGTAATAAATAAATATACCAAAAAAAAAAGAAATACTATAACTACAATACATTTTTTAATCTGCATACTATTAATTCAATTAAATACAAATGAATTTTTTTAATTAGATTTATTACTATACAATTAGTATCGACACTTCAAGAACTAACAATCACTATATTGAAATAATTGCTTTGTTAAAATTGAAATAGGTTGAGCTTATAGAAAATAATATCTAAAATCATTGTGCTAATTTTTAATGAAGAGAATTTTTAATTTTAAGTTAAACTTGAAAATTGGATAAATAAAAAATTGAAGTGAAAATTTCTATTTAATTTGTTTGGGCCAAAATCAAATTTAAAATCGGCATTTTCAAAATTTTTTCTTTCTTTTTTTTTATTTTGGGCATAACATGTATCCCACATTGGAAGTTTGAATATAACTTGAATGAAGGTGCTTTTATTAAAGGGAACAATACATAACCCAGGTTATTAACATATACCATTTCATTTTTAAGAATCAAATGACTACAAAAAAAAACTAAAACCAAAAAAAAAAAAAAAAAAAGCACGAGCAATCGTAGGAAGGAAACATTTCACGTTATCAGAATTGACCTCGATAACAATCGAAATTAATTGATCCGTAATCAAGCAACCATCGTTCTTCATGGAGATTCGTCGATTCTGGATTACAATCAGGTATGTGATTCCAATTTTAAAATCCTATGACATCGTCTGTATTCATCGTGTGGGTTCGAAAGCAACCAATTCATGTTTGGGCATTACGATTTATAGACAGTTACTTATGTGACTCAGCTGCATTATGATTGTGGGCGTGAAATCATTACGTTATGGACAGTTGCTTATGTGACCGATCTCGATATGTAGCATGAATTTCAATGTGTGACCGTCATAGGTGACTAGGATTGATTGCATGTGGTAGTGTTCTACGTATGATATTGAATTTTTGTATGTGACCTTGAGTTGTATATGAAATCATAGTTTCTGTTAGAGCCAAGAATTATATAAATGTGACCATAACAGATGATATGTTACTGATTTCACTAAAGCCGACAGTTTTCCTTTGGAATTTTGCAGAAATGGAATATGTGCACGTTTGCTTGTTATACGTGTCACAGTCAGCACTGGTGATGGTCGATAATAATTGTTGTTATATAAAGCTCGTGGAAATAGTAGTGATAGAGTTCAGTCTAGATCCTACTAAAGTAGCTGTCACAATGACTTACACACTGAATGTTGATCTGTCTCCAGTAAGAATAAGTAGTGACAGTAATGTTCGGACATACGTGACTCTAAAAACTGTATAGCGTGACCCCTCAAAGTACCCCATAAACATAGAGGTGACATCTACAGAAATAGGACATGACTCGCTCAATTCTATGTTGACCAATACAAATGCACTTAATGTGCAATCTAGTGCAGGGGTATATTCGTTGCAGAATATAACAACTGATATATGTGATGCAGTTGTAGAAATATCCCATTGCATGGATGAAAATTTGGTCACAATTGTTTCCATTCCTGATGCTATGAGTATAGAAAAAGGCAGTGTGTTTCACAATAAGGATGTTTTGAAATTGAGAATGTCTTTCTTTGCCATACAAAATATGTTTGAATACGTGGTAGTTCGATCAAATAAGAAGGAGTATCTAGTCAAGTGCTCACATGATGACTGCAGCTGGATATGTAGGTCTTTAAGGTTGGGAAAAATAGATATTTTCAAGATTCGAAAGCTAACCGCTGGTCACACATGTGCTTCAAACATAGTTTTAGGATCTCACAGGCAAATCTCAATGTTTGTGGTGTCCTCATGCATCAAGAATAAGTATATATCATCGCGTACTGTATACACTCCAAACGATATATGTAACGACATGTTGCATACATATGGGATCACAATGAATTATGTTAAAGCTTGGAGGACTCGGGAAAGAACTTTGAAACTAATCAGGGGGGATCCAACAAAGTCATTTCGACAACTACCAAGCTACTTTTATATGCTTGAACAGATAAATCCTAGAACGTCACAAAGTTGGAGGTCGATGGTCACAACAGATTTAAGTATTGTTTCTTGGAACTTGGTGCATCGATTGAAGGATGGATCCACTGTAGGCCTGTAATTGTTGTAAACGACAAGTACCTGAATGGGCACTGCGGAGGCACTCTATTTACAGCTTGTACACAGGATGCTAATAACAGCATCTTTGTACTCGCATTTGGTGTTGGGGATAACGAAAATGATGCATCTTGGACATGGTTTTTAGAAAACCTGAGAAGTGCTTACGGTAATATGGAAGAACTTTATTTTGAATCAGATAGGCATAATAGTATAAAGACTGCAATCGAACGAGTATATCCGGGTACAAGCCATGGAATTTGTACGTACCATTTGCTACAGAACTTGAAATCACATTTTGGTAAATCAGGTCACAACATAACGCAACCGTTCAATTTGGCTGTCCGTGTATACACTTTGTCAGATTTCGAGTACAATATGCAACAGTTGGACACAATCAACAAGAAGATTAGAGGTTGCTTGGTAAGGTTTTACTTTCATACATGTACATACTGTCCGGGAAAGGTGTACACCTTTCAACCTAATAATATTTTGGCTTGCAGGATGAAATTGGACCAGAAAGGTGGTCACGATTCCACATGCTTGCAAATAGGTACTTCACAATGACCTCTAATATAGTGGAATCCGTCACTGCAGTCACAAAAGCAGTGAAGAAATATCCTATTATAGCGTTGTTGAATTCATTGCGACAAACAATACAATCTTGATTTTGTAAGAATAGAGACATAGCAAATGACACATTCACAAAGTTGTCCACTAAGTACGAGAAAATGATGAGAGAAATGAGCACAATTTTGAGGAATATGAGGGTGACGATCATATTTGTTACATTACATCATATACATGTATATGTGACTTGGTGAAATATCTAATAAGTTTTATCCTTTCTTTGTTCGCAGGTTTCTCCAGCAAACCAGACAATATTTTCAGTTGCTGATGAGGGATCATCATTTGTCGTTGATATAGAGAAACGAACTTGCACATGTCAGATGCTTTAAGTTGATTGATCAGATGCCATGTCCACATGCATTGGCTGTAACAACTAAACGGGATCCGTACGATTATTATTCGTACTTCTACACCCGTGAAGCGTACATGAATGCGTACCAATACACAGTATACCCAGTGGGGAATCCAAATGAGTGGATTGTGCCACTGAAAGTTGAAGACGTAATTGTCCTGATACCTAATCAGAAAATGAGCTCTGGCAGACCTGCTGAAAAGAGGAGAAGATCGTGCATTGATGGGAAACAAATGGTGAAATGTGGACGTTGTGAAAGTAGTGGTCACAATCACAGGACATGCAACAACCTGCTTCCATTAACGAAAAAATAATCCAAAATTATGTGAAATGTTAATAATATCGACATCTTAGCATTCATTACTTTGGTTCAGTAAGCCGTTACATGTACACAATTTAGGCTTCCTTTGAAATTCGATAAGAACATTGTGATAGTTTATAATTGAACTGTGACAATCAAAATGTGCAGATGAACTTCTCACGTTAACGTTCGTACATTAAATTTTGTGACTTGTGAAATAAGCTACGCAGACATGTGACTTGTGACCTGTGACCTAAATTGTGACCGACAACCTGTGACCAAGGAATACAGGTCAAAGACTGTGACGTCAAAGAATGTGACTGCAATCTAATTACATATGCATGTGTGCACAAAGTGATGTGATTCTGTGACATGTGACCCCTGCACATAATACTGTGACCTGAGGTCTGTGACCCATATCAAGACAACTGTGACTTGTGTACATGATATTGTGACCTGATATATGTGACACATCTCCAAAAATCTTTGACCTGTGTACATAATACTGTAACATGTGATATGTGACCCATTTCACAAACATATGTGACATGTGCACAAAACACAGTGTCATGTGATCTGTGACCTATGTCACATATATCTGTGACCTGTTTCACAAACATCTGTAACATGTGTACATAACATAGTCACCTGTGATCTGTGACCTGTGTACATAACATAGTGACCTTTGATCTGTGACCTATTTCACAAATATCTGTGACCTGTGCAAACACTCACGTGTCTTGCGACCTGTGTCTACAACCCTGTGTCCAATGCACATGAATATATAACAAATCAACATTATTACCAAAGTTATTCACCACACATCTGTGACCCATTTCACAAAATATCTGTGACCTGTGTACATAACATAGTGAACTGTCATATATATCATTATCATAACCATAGGCAAGCTGTTTAGTTTTCATTAATACACTTAAACAATAAGTCATTTGAAGTTACATGAACAAAATAAACTCCATCCATTGCGGAAACATAAACCATCAAAAAGTATTCTAGCCACTATACAAACTTTCTACAGTCACTATACGACAATGTTCTCTCCCTCCGACTGTACCAACTGAGTTGGCTTTTTGATATCTTTGTGCTTAAACAATCAGATGGCAATGTCCAACCTAGCTCAGCTCGCATCAAAATTCATCGGCATGGACTTAATGTCATCACGTAGCATGTACTCTGCATACTTACTGATAAAGATGACACAATCATGATTGCACAACAAATTCAAGAGGCAACATATAAGAGATGACAGTATGAATGAAAATTTGAAAATAAAAAATAAGTCACAAAAGGAAAAAATAAGTCACAAAGTTGTATCCATTTTGTTGATACAGAGTGTCATCTACAAGCAACACCTTAATCACAACTGGATCTTTACCCGGATCAACAGAGGTTCGATTCTAGATGCTCAAAGCAAACAATAAATGCGGGATAACTCTAAGAAAGAGGTCAACCCCGACCAAAACCATTTTTCCACGATAGGTCTTGTAGCTTGAGTTGTATACGTACACCTTATGATTTTTTATGTCAAGTTTACAGAGCATCCAATGTGCACGATTGATGGGCAAAATTGACAAAAACACATAATTAACTTCAGACCAATGGCGATTGAATTATAAACGTCTACCGATAACAATGTCAACAATGTATTTATCCATCATTATCACATTTGGGTCTTTCTGAAACTAGGGAAATATGTTTTTATATTAGCCTGGAACAAACAATCAGTTGTGGTGGTACACAATCTTGCATCTTGACTTCTCAGTGCAAACTGTCGCAGATAATGAAAACAAACGTCCATATGCTATAAAATGTGACAGAAAGTTAAAAAGTACGGAAAGATTAACTTATGAATGTTGTAATTAGGCACACATTTAATGTGCCTCACATAGAAGACTGGTGACCTGTGAAAATCATAATATTGTAATCTCAGATCTGTGACCAATTTCAAACAACTGTGACCTGTGTATATAATATTGTGACCTAAGATCTGTGACCCAGTTCGAAACATCTTTAACTTGTGTGCTTAATATTGTGACCTATGACACATTTAACAAACTTCAGTAACTTGTGCATACACTGATGTGATCTATGACCCCATTTCAGTAATCTGTGACCTCTGCAGGTGTGATCTGTGACCCCATTTTGGTGATCTGTGACCTCTGTGTGTGTGACCTGTGTACATAATATTATGACTTTGTAATATGAAACCAATTTCAAGAATCATACCGTACTACTCAATGAAGATTTCAAATCTATAAGTTGATGCCACCAGCTTTTCGACCCCACGGGAATTGAACTGTGTACAAAAGTTAGACGAATGACATCATCAGCATCGTTAAACTTTTTTTTGAAACGGGAAGATAGCAGCTAAATATAAATTAAAACCCCAAATTACCCAACTTTATATATTAGAGCACAGGACATCAAATGTACGTACTTGTTCCTTGATTTGTAACCTCCGTTAAACCAGTTTTGAAATGCAACAACATCAGCGTCGTCTGCTTTCTTGTCATGCTTGTCGAAAACAATAGTATCATCGAAATGCTTAATTTGTTTTCCAACACCGGTAACATACGAGGACTGTAGTATCCGTGTGGGTCTAGGAGCTCTCTTAATTGGCAAACCCGATGCCGGTGCAGAGGAGGAGATCCCTGCGTATATGTCGAAAAATAATGAATCCATTGTTTGAATACATATATTTGTGCAGACAATATGTCATGTGATCGCATAGTTGTGACATGTAGATAAATATTTGTGACATATATCGTATACACAAGAATTTAATAATATCATGTGTAAGGATGAAAGGTGACCTGCACGCAGTGCCACATTTTCAAGTCAATATGTAGGGTGTTTGTGACCCATAAATGTATGTAACGTGATATGAAGTACTTGATCCTCATTTATGGTCTTTGTCGCTACATCATCCTGCTCCTCAGTTTCACAGTCCTTCACCACACCAGCTATAATGACATCAACATCATTAGAAATTATTGGTGTTGAAGCAACACCCAAGTCGAAAGACGTGGTCGGAGGAAATTACGGATATTCAATTTCGTAAGCTGGGTCCATCTTGCTCTTGCCTTTCCTATTGATATTTCGTTCAATGTCTGTGACCTGTTGTAACACAAATATTAATAGACAACTTAAGGCAATGACAGCAAAAAAGAATTTCGATTCTAGAATTACGTACCTTCTCCTACTATGGTGCATCTCCAACGCTGTGAGCTTCACTCTTCTCAGTTACTTTTACTAAAATTGTATCCATCGTACTCAATATTAAAGCAGTAAAGGAATTGGACATGAATGTCATGCTCGACCGTATTTCCATCATGTCCAATCAAATTTCACCTTGGACACGGATAAGTTGATCAATCTGACTGTTCCTATCTTGTTTTAAGTCTAATAGTTGTGACTTTAGATTCTTGAGCTGTATTGTTAACTCTTTATTATTACAATGAGTTCGGTTATCTGTTCATGTAACTCCTCTCTCAACTTGTCAAACACATGTAATTCAATAATTACAAAATGGGTATGTTACATGGTTGTGATTTGTGATCAATGAAAATGTATAAGACATATGTCTGTGGCTTGTGACACAGTAATGTGAGATAAAAACATATTTCTTAGTAAACTGCAGACATTAGTCCGTGACCTTATTTGGCAAATATGTGACCTATATCAACTGCTCATTGAAATATGTGTTTTCTGACAATATAACACATTGTTATGTGACCTGCGATTGAGACATAATATCCGAAATTGTGACTCCATAAATAAATATACTAGATAACGTACAGCTGGTTGTGGTTCATCATCTGCACAGATAGCTTGCGGTTGGGCTGAAGTATGGATGTCATGCCCCTCTGGCTCTGTAAGATAATATTCCCGCGTTGAATGCTCCTCAGTAGGTAGGTAGAAATGGGAAGGTGTCTTTTTCCTTCTTGGTGGTGTATCAACAAAATCGTCGTCGTCGTCATCTTCAACATCGCTCGAATTCCCTTTACATCATCTGTTATCATTAACAACAGTGGTTTAGGTGTGTGCTATTGGACAGGGACACTCATACCTGCATTGCCCGTATCTCCAAATTGTATGTCCCTTCACGTATGTGGTTGCAGAGGTTTCTTATACAAAATGCCTTTCATATATGAAGCTATCATCTCATCATCAGACAGAATAATGTAACGAACTTCAATTTGCAACAGTGATATAATTAACAATCATATCATTATTTAAGAACATATTGATTATCAAACTTTTTGTGACGTAAGCAAGTTAAGTATCATTATCGTGCAATGGAAACTTGATGACATCACATGATGAATGTAGGATATATTTCAAGTGTGTGATCTGTTAAACATGCAATGACTAATTCATGTGTTACTGATGTTAACATAACTGTGACCTTTACACTATATATTATCTGTTGTGACCATTAATATATGACTACTGTAATAATGAACAACAACTAAGAACGAAAAGTTTCACACTTACGTCAGGCTTGGATAAGACCTCTTCATCCAATTTAACTGCAGAAGGTTGTCTGTTCTATGCCCAGTTCACAATGGCGGGGTGCCTATTCCCCACCCTATTGGTGACAGGTCCAGTAAGATTTGGAATTGATTCTTAAATCCATACTTGAAATGCAATCAAAAACCCTTTCAGCCTGTAGTGGGGATTCCTATGACCCAAACCCTCTTTTAGAGATTTTATAGACATCTCAAACAACTCTTTACCCCAGGGAAACCGTTCCATCGCAGAAAAGTCTTCTACTAAGACAAAAAAGTAGTTTTCAACCACTTTCTTATACGACGTGGAGAATAAGAAAGATGTTATCAAGTATAAAATCCTGATACTTACAACATCATGATCGTCTGCATCTAACAAGTTCAGGAATACATCATGCACATCTTCATTTGTGACTAGTTTCAAATTCCCGAAGTACGTTCCCTTAATCCTAGAAGGAATATGCTCGAGATTTTTCTTGACATCCTTACCGTTACCTCTCAGACCCGTGACTACACGGAACTCAGACAACGAAAATCGAACATATTTGTTTGCAACCTTAACCCACATCTCATTGGGATTCGGTTGCTTCACCTCCCTCAATAAAAAGTAGTGTATCAGTTGAGGTTGGACCACAACTTCCTGGCAATCCATGTAAAAGGAAAAACAAGTGTCTGCCAGAATAACCTTTTTTTTCATTTGTGAACTTTGATTTGAAGTTGGTCAACACATTCTTGGTCACATTGGTTGTAATTTTACCAGGAAACCATAGGTCTTGGGGGATTATGTAATTCCATTCTTGCAAGACATTATGAAAATTGGAAACAGGTATCAAAATCCTTTATCATGCACACACTCAAATCGAGACATAAAACATATAATCACACAGGTCACAACCATTTCGCACAACACACTGATTGAGTCACAAGTGTACTCGAAAAATAGTAACACACGTGTGTGTTACCAGTATGATTTCAAAAATCACTCAAAACAAGTAAAACAACCATATTCAATAACATGGGCCAATTTTCATGGTCACAAATCTGCATGTCACAAAACTTGGTCACATTCCCACAGGTCACAACCATTTAGCACTTGACATCGTCAAGTCACGAATGTAATCGAAAAATTTCACTTCACATCGTCGAGTCAGACAAAGGATTACCAATAAACCACGTCAAAAATTGAAAATTCCTCCATCAATAAAGTACTACTCCGTTCAAAGTCACTCAGCGAGTTCAAAAATAAATTACCCATATGCCCATTTAACTCAATAGACTACAGAGAATACTTACATTATTCGATTTTCGTTTTCGAGAATCGGTCGAGGTTTTCGGTGTTCCATCGCGGTCACGTTTACCGACTTGTGGACTTCTGTTGTTCCGTTAATGGCTTCCAGAGGGACTGTCTATTTTCTGTTGAGATTTTCGGTCACAACTCCGGGTTTTCGACATTACCAAACCCTTGGAGTACTTTGTTCAACTTCGGGTCACAAATATGGAAGCGAAAGGGTAAATGAAGATCGATTTAAGATTTAGGGTACGTATCTTATATCACGGTTGATCGTGGAGGAATATGGAGTGCGTTTGAGCGGTTTAGAATGATTTCTTTCCCTTATTTAAAAATTTTCTCTCTCTACTATTAATGTAAAAAGTGGGAACGGTTAGAGATAATATAAATATTAAAAATGTTGATAAATAATTAATTACAACCTGATTTCTGAATTAAGGAACCTAATTACTTAATAATGAAATATGAACTTAAAATACCTCAATAATTGTAATTTCCACTTTATTAAAGATTAAAACTAGCAAGCAGTTGATGAATATTGAAAGGGCCTTTCCCTTTATTGCACGGCCCAATAAGTAAGTTCAAAAAATTTAAATTAACAAACCTCGAGAACTGAGAATAACCGTTACCGGCAAGCGCGGATCTACCACCTGGCGAGCACTTGCAGCAGCGCATGTTGGATAGGCCGAGAGATTTTTTTTTATTTTTTTTTGGGCTGTAGGTTAAACTTTTACCTTATATTGCTGATAATTCACTTATTTTCAAATATATCATGCATCTCAGTTGGTTAGAGTTTGCGTGTACACGTTTGAAATCTCGATTTTGAATCCTTACTATCGAATTTGTTGTGTAATATTCTTTTTCTCTAATTTTTACCAAAATTCAATAAGGATGTGGGACAAAGGGGATTCAAAGTTGTGACGTCTTGCAAGGACTGTTATAAACCCAACCACTATTGTACTTCTTGAATTGTGTTATTAGATTTACCAAATTAATATTTCTTAGGTTTTAATTGTTTTAATGCAAGTATAAAGATTCGAATCCGTGCTCTTCCTTTGAATTATACAAAAGTTGGCAACAATGTCATTTGATGAATTCTATTTTTTTATAACAAAATTATATGTATTCAATTTGAACAAAATAATTGTTACATTTAAACTTTAGGCCTTGTTAGATTCCTATTTTATTTAAATACATTTTTCTCTCTTCTTTTCATTCACGTATTCTTCAATAAAATAATATTACACACAAATTCAAAACTTTTATTTATTTTAGCCACATATTCTCCATCAAATCACTATTTTAAAATGCATTTTTGGGTATTAAATGGATTTTTAATAGTTTATTGCAATCGACGATAGATGATCAAAGGCCACCCGTGCTGACTCAAACTCCTGAATTCGTCCTTGGTTATCGGTTCATCAGTTAGCTGTTGAAATAGGCGATTTAGTGATTTTTTTAACGGTTTGTGATATATCCCGTTAATAACGTATAATTGGATCGACTTCAAGCCCAATTCTTAGCTTTACCGATTAAATCGGTCGGGTTGGGTTGGTTTTATTTACATTGATTATAACTTATAAAATTTGTGATTTGTGATTAATAAATATATTGTGATCTATAAAAAAAATTTATTTGTGATGGTAAAATAATTTGTGACCTATAAAATTTTTTATTTGAAACTCAAAAATAATTTTTGATCAATTAATACAATAAGTTGTGACTTAAATATATTTAATTAATTATTTCATAAATAAAATTTAATTAATATCATATTTTTGAAATTTTAAACTTTGTTTCTTAAGTTTGAAATTGTTGATACTTAATCTCGTAAATATGAAAATTTCTCTAGTTTCAATTGGAATTTTCAAAGACTTTTTGAAATGGGGGACTTTGGTGGAGTTCATGGACTTTTAAGTAACTTCTAGGAAAAATTGCAGTGAAAGTCCCAAACCTTTGAAGCATTAGCAGACTTTCTCCAAACCTTTGATTTATTGCAGCCGTTACTCCTGATCTTTCCAAACGCTGCAGGTGAAGCCCTTTTGGACGGTTTCCATCCACAATTCCGTTAGTTGACAAAAAATTTAACTTTGACCACATTTTTAATATTTTAGTAGGGGGTAAAATAGTAAATTCCATTTATCACATTATATATTAATTAAATTAAAAAATGAGAAATAAAAAAACATAACCCGTCTTCCTCCTCTCACCCCGCCACCACCCATACACCCACCCTCAACTTAAATCCAAAATCTACACCACCACCGCCACCATCACCATCGCCTCCGTATTACCGAGGTGTTTCATCTAGCTCAGTGAAAACGGAAAGTGAATCTTCTGGGTCTATTCCACTTCGAATCCTCTGTCGGGACATGAATTTGGATACCTTGCAAACAGTATTAGTCGGCCCTTACCGTAGAAAGGAAGCGCGTCAGAGATTTAACAAAGATTACAATTTTTTCAACGTTGGATTAATGAAAGTCCCAAATGATTTATCGAGTTTTGCCTTCAGAAATGCGAGGCCAGCTATATAGAGACTAATTGAGACGCTCACTGGTTGCGCAGAAGAAAGCCATAAGAGAATGAAGGTCGGAGAAGAACCCACGTGCTTAATTGACTTCTGGATGTAGGAAAATTTGAGGGAATTTGCAGAAAAACCATTTAAATACAGCTACATGGAAATTGGGGTTATTTGTTTGACTTCTTGTTTGCTTCACAGGATGCTTCGACTTCATCTTTATTGTGGGCTATAACGTTCTTGGATTCACACCCTGAAGTTTTACATAGGGAGAGGAAAGAGGTGGCCCAACATTGGGTACCGGAATCTGGCGCTGCCATAACAGGGTATAGGGGTGGTGGCAAGGTGAGAGAAAGAAGACGGGTTGTGTTTTTTTTTTTCTCATTTTTCGATTTAATTAATAGATAATGTGATAAATGGAAATTTACTATTTTACCCCCTTTTAAAGTATTAAAAATGTGGTCAAAGTTAAATTTTTGGTCAACTAACGAAATTGTGGATAAAAATCGTCCAAAAGGGTTTCACCTATAACGTTTGGAAAGGTTAGAGGTGACGACTATAACAAATCAAAGGTTTGAGGAAATTTTGCTAATGTTTCAAAGATTTGGAGTTTCAGCTGCAATTTTCCCTAACTTCTATAGATATGTAAAGAATTAATGAAAGTCTCCCATTAACTTATATAGACTTGGGTAGAATTTCACTAAAGACTTTTAAAAATTTAACAAAAAAAATATATATATATTTTAAAAACTTTTATATGTCAAAACCCTCCACAATATAGATAATTATCATCGTGGATCGAACTATATGAGCTATGGAAACAAGTCAACTATGTTTGAATGGCTTGACTAGTACCTTTCAAGTAATTAATAATAGGAAAATGTCGTGTGTACACCACAACAGTACCTTTCAAGTAATTAATAATAGGAAAATGTCGTGTGTTGTACACACGGCTTTATACCCCCCCTCACATGGAGCGGGCCCACGAATATTTTATTACCTGTGGGCCCCCCTCCATGTGAGTGAGAGGGGGTGTAAAGCCGTGTGTACACCATTGTGTACACACAGTATGGTCCTTAATAATAATTTGCCATAATTGAATCCTCCCCATGATCTGACAGTACAAATGTTTAAGCATATTCTTGACAAATACGCAAAATAATCATCCTATTGCAAAGAAATTGACACTTACGAATTCTAACCGAGTTAAATGTTTAAGTGGCTATTGAACTTTGCTATATGTCATGGCTTACTCACTATACTTTACAATCTTTCCTCATGACCACTCAACTTTATGTTGTCCTACTCCATTATTCATCGGATGGAATTCGTTAATTAATCTATCTATATGGATGATGGTAATCTGACGTGCCCCATTAAATGTTAAGTTAATTGCCACGTAAATGCCATGTCAGCTAAATCCAAACGTGTCTTTACCATGTATTACAAATTGAAAAGCTGACTTTCCTTCATTAAGGCAAAATCGTTGCTATGGAAGGAAATGAAATTACCCCAAATTGAAACCCATAAACCCTAAGGCGAACCTGGTGAAGAAGGCAAAGCCATAGGGGAGATCGCATTTTTGTGCAGACTCGATATGGCAAAGAACGTCGACCTGGTTAACATGTGGGCTGAATCGTTCTACCAGTTCACCAAGTCAATGACTTCGTCTTAATCAATGGTTTCTTAGGCAGATGAAGCTTGGTCGGGCCTTGGTGGTGGCGTGCTTAACTATCCTTTGGCCCGAAGACAGGTGTGAGGCGTGGTTGGAGGAGGAGAATTCTGTTTCTAATACTAGAGATATTAAGAAAGAGCCCATTTTTGTCAATGGAGGTGACGAGATATGTATCTATATATATTTCAAGTTCTACCAAATTTCATATTCTGCAGTAATATATCACTACTAAAAAACATGGCTTCAGACACGAATTTTTCATTCTTGAAACTTTGATATCCGTTACTATTACTCTTTATGAACGGAATATTTGCAACCGTAAATCCGTTGCTAATTTGAGGATTGCTGATAGTTACCAATGGATCCTGTCGTAAGTAAAGAGTAAACATTTCACCAACGAATTTTTCGTTGGTAAAAATCTTAATAAATATCAATCGACTTTTCGTTGGTAATTTGTCTACTATTACAATTGGTAGTAATCAATGTTGTAATTAGCTGCATAGGTGTGAGACATGGTAAAAAAAAAGTTATTTATTTATTTATTATTGTTATTATTATTTATTTAATAATTCTAATTTTTTTAACTTTTAGCCAACCGAATTGAAAGATTTTGTATTGTTTAACCATTTATTGGATCACAAATTAATTTATAGAAGGCAACTTCAAAGAATTTGTTGTGAACTTTCAATGTGGGAGAAGTGAATTACTTTTACCAACAAATAATCTATTTTTAATTACCAACGGAATATTTGTATGTGAAAGATCCAAATGTTAAACGATTACATAAGGCACGGAATATTCGTTGGTAAAGAAATATCATCGTTACCAATGGAAAATCCGTTACTGATTATCGTAGTTGAAAGTGAATTACTTTTAATTATCCGTTGGTAATATTCGGTACGTCAAGATCCAAATAGTAAACGGTTACATAAGGTACGAAATATCCGTTGGTAAAGAGATATCATCGTTACCAACGGAAAATTAGTTGCTGATTATCGTAGTTGAAAGTGAATAACTTTTAACAACGGATAATTCATTTCTAATTACCAACGGATAATTTTCCATAAGTGAAAAGCTGTTTTTTAGTAGTGATATGGTTTGTTTAATTAAAATTCTTCTCGAACTTTTTTGGAAAATCTGGAGATAGTGCATAATAATGCGGACTTGAAAGCTTGTATTGTTGATTAATTGTCATGGATACATGACAATCACTCTTAAATTTATGCTTCTTTATCGTTTTCATTTTACATTACATATGTACTTGCAGAGAAGGGTCAAAGTGATAATTTATTATTATCAAAGTCCATAGATGGGGACAAAGAAACAAGACTCACTAATGACAATGACACATTTCTTTCTGTAATCTGTGGTTGACACTTTTTGATACCTCTAACATGTTTTTTAGGAGTGGAAGACCTGTGCTGTGGGATGTGGGCTTGAATTTGATTCTGGTAAGAAGCCAGATGCTGCATTTGGGCTCCCTCAGCAACCAATGGATTCAAATAAATATTATGCTGGGATATGGAAGTGGATGATTTGGAAAAATCGTTCGAAGTAGAAGAAGTTGTCGCAATGTTCATCAGATGACGTGGAATTTACCTTTGATGAATTACAACGAACGGATGAGGCTGAATTGTCGAAGCTGAAAGCGGCAAGGGCACGAAAAATAAGAGCTGTGAAGACGACAAAAGCTACATCCATTCGGTGTAAGGACGTTGATAGTAATCTGTAGTGCAGTACAATGTAAAGACAGTGATAGTAACTCTTGAGTAATGGCATCTGTATATTTCTTTTAATAATAACGTTGATATTAAATTTCTGAACATGAGTACAAGAAGATATACATCCGTTCCTGCTGATGTAAATCTATAAGTTTGTGAATGCATATAACCTGGCTCTTCGATTTGTTTCAACCTTTGCCTTATGTTGGTATTTCAACGAATACGAAAATCATGGATCAAATAACTTCAATAAAAGCTCAACGACTAAAGTTAGGAAATAACTTCAATTGACATAAAAAAGATAAATGTACTCCAACTTTCAACCTAATTTACACCAAATTTAGTACCGATTACAAAATATGAAAAATACAACAATAGTCTTTTCTCCCATCACATTATCCGAACACATTCACTTTTCTCTTCCCTTTCCTTCTTGTTCTCTTCCATAGATCCTTTTCTCTTGCGGATAATTATGTTCGGGGATATCTCCACGCCTTCACTTTCAGATATTTGATCAAATCTCTTGAATCGGATCCTTAGGCATACATTTACCCAAACAAATACACCTCGAGACTCCATTAGACTCACCTTCAAAGTTTCTACTTTGTCCACTGCAAATAGTGCAAAGAAAAGGTCGTCAAATGAGTCCAGCTATGTCATACAGATACACATGAGATGCATCAACTAGAGAAATGATCAATGTAGCCATAAATATAAATTTCTTTTGCCACATCAGTTTCAAATCAAAGATCAATATAGAACAACCATGCTCATATAATTTGCTTTATAATATGGAGGACTCTCTAAATGCAAAGAAAATCCCACAGTATCTCCTCTTACGTCAAGGTTCCTATGACAAGTTGACAACCACGGTAAAATCAATGTTGATTTATCTAAATTGAGAGGATAATATCTAAGGGAATGTTACAGAGCCACTACTGTTTCCTGTCACTACTCTTACATAAAGGCGCAATAACTCCTGATTCTCAATCCCAGATAAATATCAGATGGAAAAGACACAGTAAACTGGAAGAAAAACTTCAAGAAAAACTGCAAAAAAGATGGAAGAAACCCAGTAAACTTTCAATGTATTCATCAACCTGCCGGTGTAGGAACGGTTCGAATTTTTGGGTCAAAATGGTCAATTTCGCCTTAGGGCTTGTGCGTTTCAATTTGGGGTAATTTCATTGGATTGTGCTACATGTACAAATAAATTTGTACTAAAAATTTTACACGTTCTCACAATAGAATGCTAGGGACCACATGGCCGAATTTTTTAATGCAAGGGGGACTCACATGCATGTGAAAGTGAGTAAACCATTTTGTCAACCAAATTTTGTACAAATAGTTTTATCCAATTTCGTTTACTTCCACATAAACGAATTTGCCTTAATAATGTAGGAAAGTCGCATTTAAATTTGCAACACATGGTAAATGTGTGTTTGGATTCAAGTGACGTGGCGTTGACATGGCAATTAACTCAACATTTAATGAGCCACGTCAGATTACCGCCATCCACGTAGGTAGGTTAACTAACGAATTCCATCCGGTGGCCAATGGAGGTGGACGATGTAAAATTGAGTGGCCATTGGGAAATGTTGTGAAGTATAGCACAGCCAATCCTATGATTGTCGGAGCCCGATGCGAATTCTACAAATTAGGCCCTAACGAAATCAACGTAAATGTAAAATTCAACACTGTATTATGCGAGCTATTGCTAATTTAAAACTAACATTTAAACAACAACCAAATATATTATAGAAATGATTTATATTATAAAATAACAAACCAAAGATTTAATCATAGAGTGAAGGAACTTATGCCAAGTGTGGAAGTGTCGATTAAGAAATTGGCATAATTGATTAAAAATTTATTATCATCTAAAATTAAACAAAAATATACATATATATTAAAATACGACTTTCTGCCCCTTTTAAAGCAGATCTAGAATGAAAGAATTGTAAAATGTAGTAATATCTTTCTCAAAAGTTTTTGTACAAAAATAAGACAACAACATAGATTCAACAAATACAGTCACATAAATATTTATCTTCACAAAGTTTTTGTACAAAAATAAGACAACGACATGAATATTTATAGACACCCATTTATAAAATTCATCAAATCTCACACCATTTTCAAGAAAAAAACCCAAATTTAACCATTTTAGATCTTATCTTCAATAAATTTACATCAAATCCCACACCATTGGATTTGGATTGTTTGGTCTTGTTTGGGAAAAAAAAATTTGGTCTAAAATGAGGCCCCTTATGGTCTTGGGCCTTAGGCGAGGGCCTCATTTGCCTCGCCTCAGGACCGGCTATGACTACAGGTAATGTTTAGATGAATAATTATATGAATCTCTCACATAATGTTGCTTTAGCACAAAGTCTATGAGACATGATGGGTGCTTGGAAGTCATAAAGAAGGCAATCGAAAAGCTTGGACTTAGACACAAAGAGCATATTTCAGCATATGGCGAAGGCAATGAGCATTGTCTTAGTGAAAAACACGAAACAGATGCCATAAACGCCTTCAAATGATTGCAGAAACCACCATGCTCTCGAAGCATTAAGCAGCCATATCTGTTTATGAGGATAACTTTTTTTTGGATTCCTGTAGGGTACTTTTCTTGTTATCTATATTTCAGGATGCAAAAAATTGAGATCGTTGATAAATCTTTCATGTTAATATTGTGAGAATTTGTGTTCTGTCTCGTGACAGCAATGACACCACAAACATTCAACGGTGCAAGTTTCTAACAATGACAACTTAAAACTGTTACTATGTACCTTGCCACCAGGGGCGGACCCCCTAAGGGACGAGTGGGGTCGGCCACCCCAACTAAATCTTCAAAAACGTTCAATTCGACCTTGTTAAATTTAAAATTTTCAGATTTTTTTTCACAATTTTTTTTAGTCAATTTTCTATCTCGCTCCCACTGAAAAATAATTCTAGATCCTCCCCTGCTTGCCACATACACCACCCCTTTGAATCCATTATACGAGATTAGACTTTGTAGAATATATTCAAAATATGTGGTTAAAAAAGAAAAGTAGGAAAAATATTTGAATTTACGTGCAAAATTATTTTAATGAAAGAATGTGCATTTGAAAATGAATTTTTGAAACAAATTAGATTGATGTACAAACTGTGGCTTAATATTCCTTGTGTAATAATATGGTAATGGCATAAGTTATGGGGAATTTTTAAAATGGTGTTCACAAAATAATTTAAACTTCTTTTGTAACTAAAATGTAAATTTGATAATTATTAATATATTTGTTGTTTGCTACTTAAAATTGCAGCGTACGGATAAAAGAAAAATGAGGGGGGATCTTCACTGGATGTCCAATGCAATGTAAGCAAGTCGATATTCACCCACCACCCATTCCCCACCCAAAAAAAAAAAAAAAAAAAATTACTTTTTTGTGGATCGCATATTAGTCCAGTCAGCCTTTTTTTTTTTTTTTTTTTTTTTGGTATCTGATATGTGTGTTTTACATGCTAAGTAGGGTCTTAAATTAGCCTAAAAATTTATTAATTGAGCAAATTGCGACTTATTTCATTTATGTTGTATTTGACTTTTTTAGGCTAAATTTCCAATTTGAAGGTGATTGAAGCAAAATGAAGTAGTTAGAAGCATTGGCCAGGCAAAAAGATGATGCTTGATGAATGCTGGAAGGTATTGGGATTTAAATGGACGAAATAGAAGTCAACTGAAAGATTTCATAAATATTGGGGGGACTAAAATAGGTATATGAAGAAGTTTAAGGACCAAAATTGAGGAATCAAAAGTTGAAGGGCCAATCCGGTGATCAAAAGGATCAAAATCAAAATAGATGGAAATAATAATTCAATGGTTGAAGAAGATTGAAAGTTTGAGGACCTAATCTGCAAATTATGGCACCCAGGTACATGGTGGGAGTGGCCCGAGCAAATTTCGTAGGGCCGAGCACGTCGTGGGTGGGTGCCACCATCGATTCCAAAATTGAAAACTTTAAAATGCATTTGATTTGTCGTTTTGAAGCAAATTTCAGCTTTCTATTTTCTAGAAACACTTATAATATGCTTTCGAAAATGCATTTTCGAAAATAGGGAAAATTTTATAAAATAAAATTCAAAACAAGGAAATGACCTTAAATAATTAATAAAATCACAAAAAGCATACCCAAATACAAATACCCATCCTTGTCTCATCTGAGGCTCCTCCAAGAATCCTAGTAGAGAATCCATCTCTCTATTGCCATTTCCCAATCTTACAATGATTCTTTTTTTTTTTTTTTACCAACTTTAAAATTTATATTTTTTCATCACATATTACAATAAAATTGATATGTTTTACTAAATAATCAAATTAATTGGAAAAAAAATGTCATAAAACAATTTCTAAAATTTTTAAACCAAACACATTTTCTAATTTTTGTTTTAAAAACAGTTTTTCAGAATGACTATTTTGGACTTGTTTCAGGTTTTTCCAGCTTTGATCTTATCTCGTACCAGCTATTGTAGTTTGTCACATTATCATAGTACTCTTATACTTAGAAGATCAGTCCCGCTCCTATATATATTCCAAGTCATCATATTCTCTGTAAAATTTAATATTGCATCTTCAATCTGTCTTGCATTCAGATAGCATAATGTGAATAAGTTGTTTTCTTAGCTATTTCTTACTGCAAATTGTCAAGAAAAGATGGGGGTGTACTTGAGACAAGCATTTTTCGCGAAGCATGAATTTTAATGTTTGAATGCAAAGAGGAAATTAGACTTGCATCACAACGATATCCATTTGAGGAATTAAGGCAAAATTCTCATTGAAGAGCTAAGTATTTGATGGCATAAAAATGCCATAAACTGAAGGATTTATATGTCATCATATTCTCTGTAAAATTTAATATTGCATCTTCAATCTGTCTTGCATTCAGATAGCATAATGTGAATAAGTTGTTTTCTCAGCTATTTCTTACTGCAAATTGTCAAGAAAAGATGGGGGTGCATTTGAGACAGGCATTTTTCGCGAAGCATGAAGTTAATGCAAAGAGGAAATGAGACTTGCATCAAGTCGATATCCTTTTGAGGAATTAAGCCAAAATTCTCATTGA